TGTTACCTTCCCTAATGAACCCCCATAATCGCGGGTTACATTTGTGAGTTCTGTGTGGCCACTGCAATGGATTACTAAGTCTAGTACAAGGGTGTCATGCAAGGAGTGGTTGGTGTCAGAATAGGGTAAAAAAGAATGCAAAGTGAAGGCATGGCTCACCTCTGCCTCATGGCGTAGACTTTGGGCTGGTCAGGAGTTGGAGTCGCCGTCTCCATTTTGTACCTTTAACCAAACCAAACCAAACTCATTATCATTGAGTCGATTCCAACTCAGAATGACCCCATCGAGCAGGCTAGACCTGTCCCTGTGAGTTTCTAAGGCTGTGACGTTTTACAGGAGTAGAAAACTCTGTCTTTCTTCCTCAGAACAGCTGGTGGCTTCGAACTGCCGACCTTGCCCTTAGAAGCCCAACACACAACCACTATGCTACCAGAGCTCCCCGCCCTATGTATCTAGGGGAGATCAGACGATCATCTTGCTTCCTTTCTGCCTTCTTCCTCAGTTCAGTTGTTCTGTCATTGATTGAGTGGCTCTCTGCTGAGATCTGGGGATTGAAGCTTTCTGGAAGAGCTTCCCTGCCTTTAGGGCCCTCCGAGCTCTTAGTCTATTCTCTAAGAGTCACTACTTACACGTAGTGGCTATCCATGTTGCTCGGACTTTTTTCTGGAAATGATAGCAAGTATGCTTACCAGGAAAACAAACAAATGAAAAAACAAGTACATGGAACACAGAGATCCTTGCTTACCTTTCTCCCAGGTTCTCTCTGTATTTTTGGTGAACAAAGAGCTAGCTGGCTCGTACATGTTCATTAGCCCTGCAGAGAGGCCTAGGGAGGTGTCAATTTGGCCTTTGTCTCCCTAGCCCCATTAAGGGACTTGCCCACTCGAGCAAGGGTCATGCTGCAGGGAATTATAAGGTTCCTGTCAAAGTAGAATCCTCATGAACTTTTTGGTTCCAGTCCTCAGAGGCTTGCAGAAGTTGCAATCAGAATAACAAGAATAGGAGCCAGGAAAAAAAGAAGCTTCTTTGGGGAAAGATACACTTGAAATCGTTTAGTGTAATGTTATATGGGATTCCACATCTGCTTTTCCCACACTCATCATGCCGATAAAACATGCACCTGTTAGTTTTTCATCAGAAGCCATATTTCTCATCTGTCTTGCTTGACCTTGCCACAGACATTTCCCTTTGAGCACTCACTTGGATTTTTGTACCGAATGGAAGTTGGAAGTGATTTCAAAGGAAGACAATTTCTTTTGACATCTCATGTATGACCCATTTATCTCCTTACAGAATATAGAAAAAGTATTGGAAGCACTAGAAAATAAGCATATGAGACTCTAGTTTTATCTCCATTATATGTAGGCATGTATATATACGTATAGTTTTTTTCTCCCCAAAATAATATGGCATGATTACGTGTGAGTGAGTTGTGTCCAAATATCTGGTATGCTTTATGGGAGGAAGCAGGAAGGTGTACACTGTTTCCAAGTACTAGTGTCTTTTCATTTATTTAATTGATTTTGCTATGGGAAATTTCAAACATAGATAAAAGTAGAGAGAAGATTATAATGCACCCTTAAGTACTCATCACTGGGCTTCAGCAGCACTCAACTAAGAGTTAATTTTTTTCTTCTATACTGTTACACCCCCAACTCCTCTTGAATTATTTTGAAGCAGATCCTAGACATTGTTTCATTTCACCTGAAAATACTTATATACATATATATATATCCAAAAATATATGTACTCTTTTTTTAACACACCCAGTACTGCATCCCACCTGAGACATAACAATAATTTGTATTACTATTAAATGTCCTGTCAATATTCAAATGTCCAAAGTAAGGCTCCAATAAGGCTCCAGACTTTTCATTTAGTTGTTATTTCTTAAGTATCTCCAAATCTAACCCAATACCCCCCCAAAAAAACTTACTTCCACTAAGCCAATTATAACTCATCTTGACATTATCTAGGTTTCTGAAGCTATAAATCTTTATGAGAGCAAATAGCTTCATCTTCAATCCACAGACTCACTGTTGGTTTTGAACCATCAACCTACAATTAGTAGCCCAATGCTTACTTGATAGCAAGACCAGAAATTGAATCTAACAACTCCTTTCTTAACTATGCAATTTGTATGTTCAATGAATTAGCAGGTTGTCCCATAGATTTACTCACATAATTGCTTGTTGATTGCCGTCATATAAAATTACTTACTATGTTTCTCTGACCCACTGCTTCAGTTCTTGTAAACTATTAGGTCAAAAGTTTTGGCCAGATTTGGTTTGGATTTTTTTGGCAAGGGGGTTGACATTCCATTGCATCACATCAAGAAATATATTGCTCATCTTTCCTTGGTAATGTTGAGATTGATCGTTAGGTTCCAGTGTTGTCAGGTTAGTGTATCCATAAGCAGATTCCTAAGTCACTTTTCACTCAATGACTATAGAAACCATTGATAACCACTGTTTAGATTCACTTTTTAAAAACTTATAAATTCCAATATGATGATACTCTAGTATCATCAGTGGGTTTTGAGTCAAGAATACAGTTAAGTAGTACAAGGCAATAAATTGTGTATTATGGTTTGCAGCCAGATTGTACTTAACTGTGTTTTAAATTTTATATTATTAGCTAAATTAATGACATTATCAATAGAATTACTTATACCTCAGAGAGATGATTGCTAATATTCTCTAACATTAAATGACAATGATGTCTCTAAGGTGAACCAAAAAATCATATCACTGTGAATGAGGTGGGCAGTGCAGAGTGGAGACCCAAAGCCCATTTGTAGGCCACTGGACATCCCCTTACAGAAGGGTCTCGGGGAGGAGACGAGCCAGTCAGGGTGTGATGTAGCAACGATGAAGCATACAACTTTCCTGTAGTTCCTAAATGCTTCCTCCCCACCCACCCCCTACTATCATGATCCCAATTCTACCTTAAAAATCTGGCTAGACCAGAGGATGTACACTGGTACAGATAGGAACTGGAAACACAGGGAATCCAGGCCGATGATCTCTTCAGGACCAGTGGTATGAGTGGCGATACTGGGAGAGTGTAGGGAAGGTGGGTTGGAAAGGGGGACCCTATTACAAGGATCTACATATAACCTCCACCCTGGGGGACGAACAACAGAAAAGTGGGTGAAGGGAGACATCATACAGTGCAAGATATGACCAAATAATAATTTATAAATTATCAAGGGTTCAGGAGTGAGGGGGGACAGGGAGGGAGGGGAAAAATGAGGAGCTGATGCCAGGGGCTTAAGTGGAGAGCAAATGTTTTGAGAAGGATGAGGGCAATGAATGTACAAATGTGCTTTACACAATTGATGTATGTATGGATTGTGATAAGAGCTGTATGAGCCCCCGATAAAATGATGTTTTAAAAAAGATGTCATTGAGTCAGTTCTGACCCATAGGAACCTTTTGCACAACAGAACAAAACTCTGCCCGGTCCTGTGCCAGCTTCATAGTCTGTTCCTATGCCTCAGCCCCCGTGCCAATCCATCTCCTTGAGGCCCTTCTTCTCATTTGTTGCCCTGCTGCTACCTTACCTAACTAACATAAGCTCCTTCCCCAGGGATCGATTTCTCCTGACACCCTGTCCAAAGTCTGTAAGATGAAATCTTGCCAACCTTACCTCTAACGAGCACTCTGGAAGTGTTTTATTTTTTTTAATCGTTTTATTAGGGCCTCATACAACTCTTATCACAATCCATACATACATCAATTGTGTAGAGCACATTGGTACATTCATTGCCCTCGTCATTCCCAAAACATTTGCTCTCCGCTTAAACCCCTGGCATCAGGTCCTCACTTTTTCCCTTCCATCCCCTCTCCCCCCTCCCTCATGAACTCTTGATAATTTATAAATTATTATTTTGTCATATCTTGCCCTATCTGGAAGTGTTTCTTTTAGACAGATCAGTTTGTCTTTTTACCAGTCTGTGGTACTGTCAATATTCTTCTTCAGCATTATAATTCAAATTCTTCCTCAGTTTTCTTTATTCAGTATCCAACTCTCACATGCATATGAGGCAATTGAAAAATACCATGGCTTTGGTCAGGAGCATCTTAGTCCTTAAAGTAACGTTCTTGCTTTTCAATACCTGAAGAAGTCTTGTGCAGGAGATTTGCCTACCCAATGCAACACATCTTTTGATCTCTTAACTGCTGCTTCCATGAGCATTGATTGTGGATTCAAGCAAAATCCTTGACAACTTCCAACTTTCCTCTACTCATCGTGATGTTAAATATTGGTCCAGTTGTGAGGATTTGGGTCTCCTTTACACTGAGTTGTCATCCATCCCGAAGGCTGCAGTCTATGCTCTTCATCAGCACGTGCTTCAGGTTCTTCTCACTTCCAGCCAACAGGTGACATGAACCAGAGACATATATGAACCGAAGACATACGAATGGTACTTGGGATCACACTTAACTCTAACTACAATCTAAGAATACTTTGTTTTATGACATGGCTCTGCTTGAGACTCATCCCCGTGAAGAGATCACTGAAGATATGGGTGCTATAGCAAAGTGTGGTGAAGAAACTAGATGCTGCCAGTCGATCAGAAAGAATAGTATATGGGGTCTGATAACTTGTTTTCAAACAAGCAGCCATCTAAATGAGGCCCCAACTAAGTCCACCTGGAAGAAAGACACAGTCTGAGTGATTCAGGGTTCTGAATTATATAATCCAAATCTAAAGGAGGGAATGGGTTTTGGCATTTCTATTGTGAACCCCTGGTTTGCAGAAGACTATGGGTGAAAGTGGGAGGCCCAAATCCATTTGCTGGGTTTACACATGCATTAAACCTCTAGTGAGTCCCCTCTGACTACAGTAGAAGGATGCGAATGCCTTGTTATCTGTCACACAGTGTATTTTAAAGATGATTGTAGTAGATATAATTAGGTTAAGATCTAACATCTTATTTGTTCCCCGTTTGACTCATTTGAAAAGTTGTTTCAGCTTTTTTTTTTTTTTTTTAGGTGAAAGGAAATACACATGGATTAAGTCTCTGGTGAGTCTCCAGTGAACATAGATCAGGGATGTGCTAGCCTTGCTGTCATGCAGAGAGCATTGGAAAGTGGATTACAGCAGATGTATTGAGGTTAAAATGTAACACCTTATCATTCGATCTCGCTTTTGACTCATTTTAAAGGTCTCATTTTTAGTGTTTTCTGCTTTATTTTCAAATGAAGTTTTTCTCAATTTTATTTTGTTATTGTTATGCTTTTTTGCTTGTTTATTGTCTTTGTATGTTTGGGGGTATCTGAAATCCAGGATGGGCGAATCTACAGAGATCATAGCTGAATTAGTAGTTTCTTGTGGGTATGGAAGGAGAGGTTAGGAGGAAATGGGGAGCTAATAATGAGGAGTAACAGAAAGATGAATGTGTGCTCAAATTGATTGTGATCATACTTAATGGAGCTGTTATGGTTGCACTATTGAATTATATGATATGTGGACCATGTTCCAACAAACTGTTTTACAAAAAGGAATACAGTTAAGTATTGGCAAAACATGGTACCATATTCAACATCGTTACATGGAAAGGAAAATCAAGAGCACTAGTAGTTTCTTTCTTTTAAAAAAATAGTTTATTTTGTTGTTAAACGTATACACAGCAGGACATAGACAAACTTACCAGTTTCTAGATGTACAATTCCATGCCATTGCACATTCTTCAAGCCATCCAACCATTTTCACACTCTGTTTCTAAACTGTTCCTCCCTAAAACATAAAACCCATACGCTTTCTATCTGTCTTACTTATGTAGTGTTGCTGTCACCGTAAATGGATGGATTTAGCAAAAAAAAATTACTTTCTCACGGTTTAGGAGGTTAGATGTCTGAATTCATGATGCTTGCTCTAAGGCAGAGGTTCCCAAACTTATTTGTCCTAAAAAAAAAGCAAAACTCTCAGCCATCAAGTTGATTCTGACTTGTAGTCATTATACCTCCCCCTTTTCAGGAAACAAACAAACAAAAAATTACTCAGCAAACCCTGGCAATGAGCGGTGTTGTGCTCTGGCCTGTCAAGGACAAGGAAGTGTAGGTGTCTGCATTGGCAGCCTCCCTGCATCATTCGAGCTTTCCCAGGGGCAGTACCGGCCACCTTGGGACACAGAGCTACAGGGAAAGCTTTCTTCTGCTGCCTCGGGAGGAAAGCCCTTGTCTCTTTAACTTTGGAGGGTCCAGTATTCCACGGAGATCTCTCTGTGTTTTGGCATCACTTTTCCCTGGGTCGAGGAGGTTCAAAGCACGGGAAACCCTAGTCCAAATGATGTACTCTACGCCCAGATATGCTTGTTTAGTGCTACTGAGCTCCCGGGGAGTCCAGGGGCATAGTGGGTTTCCAGTAGGGCTGCTAAATTACGTTCAGCAGTTGGAACCTACCAGACCACACCGTAGGACAAAGATGGGGCTTTCTACTCCAGTAAATATTTGCAGCCTCAGAAATTCAAAGGGGAAGTCCCACCCAGCCCTACAGGGGCTCTATGAGTGAGAATGTACTCGAGGACAGGAAGCTTTGTTTCTGAGTAACTGAAATCACATCTTCTCTCTTCTTTCACGCTTGAAAGATAAAAGGTGATGTAAACCACACTCCAGTGAGAAACTCCTCTAATGTGAACAGGGAGGTGACCTTAGTAAGGGTGGTGACTTAAAAAAGGGTCCCGTATTTCATCCTAGTTAGAGCTCCATAGCCTAACAAACAGAACCCCAAGCCTGTCTCATTCATCTCTCAAAGATTAGCATTTACAACACAATCGCAAACATGCGAATGCTCATGCAGTACTGGGAAGCATCATCTAGTCGTTTGGACACAGATTTCGGAGGGATATAATCCAATCCCTGACACTATCTAATTCTCAAGCTGCAGCTGTCCATTTGATAGGAGCCCTGGGGGTTACAAGTTGGGCTGTGATACACATGGTCTACAGTTCAAAACTACCAGCCACTCCGCTGGAGAAAGACAAGGCTTTCCATGCCCATGGATGGTTACAGGCTCAGAAATTCACAGCGCCAGTCCTACCCTGTCCCATAGGGTCGCCGTGAGTTGGAATTGACTTGATGGCTGTGGGTTTAGATGTTTATTTGAGCCCAAAAAGGTAGTTCTTTAAAAAAGCATCATGCTAAACGCAGGGAATCTAGGACAGATGAACCACTCAGGACCAGGGGTGACAGTGGCGATACCAGGAGGGAAGGGGGGTGTAGAAAAGGGGA